ATTCACTTAGCACGATAGTCTCTAGTTCCATCGATTTACCAGCAAATGCCGTAATTTCATTTTTTCTTTACGGCTGAGTAAAATTCCATTGTGTAAATATACCACATTTTCTTTATCCATGTACATATACCACTTTTTCTTTATCCATTCATTTGTTGAAGGCACTTAAGTTGGTTCCCTAACTTAGCTATTGAACAGCACAAATTTGTGTTCCAGTAAATACTAGTCAGTACCTAGGGAAGTTCATTGTTCTGGGCAGTGAGATAAGGAATACTCTAAAGGATGTGATATGGAAAGAAGTAGAGAGGGGAAAGTGGCCACTTCTCTTGTCTCATATTTAGGTGAGGATCAAAGCAGAGTGTCCTTGGTTGTAGAGTAAAAGAATGTCCCATAAAACGTCTGAAGAAACCCACATGCACAGTGAGCTTGCAGCCTATCCTATGTACTCCTCCTGCCTGTAGGTGTCGCACAGCCCTGCATTATATCCCAGCCTGCTGCCAGGGTGTAGGTAATAAAATGTTCCAACCCTCTTCACTGAGTCCTCCAAGTCCTTTCTTTGGCATCAGAAAACAGTATGCTGGGGTCTTTACAGCCCTGAAGTTGAACAGTTTGGTTTTTTGGTCGTGGGGATGGAACCCAGGGGTGCTCTACAATTGAGCTACCTCCCCAGTCCTTTCATTTTTTATTTTAAGACAGGGTCATGTTAAGTTGCCAGGCTGGCCTTGGACTTATCCCCTCCTGCCTCAGTCTCCCCAGTTGTTGGGATTACAGGCGTGCACCACCACTCCTGGCTTCCATTTAGGACTGTGGTTGATGACCTTGGAAAGTGAAATCATGGAGGGGCTGTGGATCCACAGCAGACAGCCAGAGAAATGAGTCAAGCTCAAACAGGTGGCTTCAAATATTTTAAATACTATTTTCAGCTTAAAGAAAGGAAAGGGTTTGTGGGGGAAGCTGATTTGGGAAAGACAGACAGGAAAAATATGGTGACTAAGGGTAAGTTTTATTATGCAGAGTTAAATCAGTGCCTTCTCTGCTGATTAGAGTCTAGTGATTTACTTCTCCTTCTGGGTACAGAGAGTAAGACAAATGGAGATTTCCTTTTAAGATGTGAATTTTCTGTACAAAAGAGTAACTTCTACTTTGTTCTCAGAGGCAGTTTCTCTAAATAATCAGATCAAAGTATTCTGTTAAAACAAAATCCTCACAGCGAGGGGGCCTGCCTCTTTGGTAGAGTTTGTCCCCTAGCGTGAGCCGGGCCCTGGGTTCCATCCAGGGCCAATTACATCTATAGCTAAATCTGTTGTACTCTTTTCTTTCTTTGTTTTAAGATGTTGTGGTTGAAAAGCCAGTAGTATGTTCCACAGTTTAGCTATTGTTCACAAAGTAGAATCACACCATCTGCAGCTCATGAATTGTGGCAGTCTCCATTCTATACAACAGAACGAGAGTTCCCTGGGCAGTCCAGAATGGTGGGTTTTGTAAGGAAGTTCTAACAAGAAAACAGAACAATAGGGAGAAAATTCCCCACTACCATCTCAACAGACCTGATTAGTAACATCATGTTATTTTGGGTTACTTTTTTTTTTTTTTTTTGCAGGAATTAAAACAGAAAATACTAAGCCAGGCATGGTGGTTCACACCTGTAATCCCAGAAACTTGGAGGTGAATACAGAAGTATCACAAGTCTGAGACTAGCACAAGAATTAAAGTGGGCTGAGATATGGGGATGAAGCTCAGTAGTAGAGTGCCCCTGGGTTTAACTCCTTATATATATGACCTTGGAAAGTGAAAGTATGGATGGGCTATGGATACATAGCAGATAGCCAGAGAAATTATATATATAAATTATTTTAATAATGTACATCCTGGACTCCTTCTCTGACATTTCATCAACTGCACTGTCCATGGATTCTATTATTATAGTATGCTGGTTTGTTTGGGGCACTTTCTTCCCTTGTTTTTTCATGTTTTCTGTATGTCTTCCTTTCTTGCAGTGTGGATCTGAGATATTACAGTTTCTATCCTATAATCTTAGAGTGTCCCTGCAGATTACCTGTATCTCACCTTGGTGTTGGGCTCCTAGACCCCTGCTGGTGTCCTACAGTAAGTGCTCCTGCAATTAAAGGTGGTAGCAGAGACAACTCCAGATAGCAGTGGGGGTGTCTCAAGATGGATGCAACCACTTTCAGAGATGGGGCTGAAAGGGTGGGCTGTCTGTTTGGAGATGCAGCTGTCTCCAGGCCCTATCTGTTGTCCCAAGGTGGAGGCTACTGTGTGGGGAGGGCTATGGCAATGGCTACAGTGTCCCAAGATGGTATGGGGTTGGCCTGGGTTCCATCGTGGTCTGCTGGTTGGCAGTGCCGTCCTAGGTCTGGGCCTGGGTTCCAGGCTAGGTCTGCTGGTCAGCAGGGGTGGTCCTAGGCCTGGATTAACTCTTTCTGATACAGATACTAACAAAAATCTTTAAAACAATTTTTTTTTTTCTGTAGAAGAGATGGAGTTTTGAAATGTTGCCCAGCCTGGCCTTAACTTACCAGTCTCAAGTGATCTCCTGCCTCCAGCTTCCTGAATACCTGAGATTTTAGGTATACACCAACTCATCTAGCATAAAAATCTAATTTTTTTATGATATTGGGGATCAAACCCAGGGCCTTATGCATGCAAAGCTTATGCTCTACTAGTGAGCTACATCTCCAGACCTCCAATAGTTTATTATCCATTTATCAGTTGATCTATACATGGGTTATTTCTGTGAATTCTGTGTGTTGACTGAGCAATAAATTGCCAGCTGGGTCACTTGAGTGTCTGCACTCAGCTGAGAGCCAGCAAGGCCTCCTCCACATGCCCCTCTTTCCATGTGCTGTCCCCTCTCTCCAGGGCCTCATCATATGACTCCTTTGTCCCCAGTATGACAGCTTGGATTTCTGTATAACTTGACTGGGTTCCAAGCTAGCAAAACAGAAGGTACTATGAGGTAGTAGCTAGCAAAGAGCAGTGTCATGCATGGCAAGGCCACACGTGTTCTTTAAATTGCTTCAGATTCTTCTTTAAACTACTTTCAAAGTAGATGAGAAAGCAAACAGTGGCTGTTAATTTGCAGAAAATAAACAGAAGCAAAGGAACTAATTGGGGACACACGTCAAAAGAAAAGGCTTACTGGGTCTAACCCTTGACAGGGTCCATTGAGGCTGATGTGGAGCCAGGAATCATGGCTATAGGTGTCTCCATTTGTCTGGGAAGGACTATTCCTTCAGTAGTGCAGGTCACTTAGGTAAATTCTGACTGGCCACTGACCCCAATGCCCACAACATGGAACTGACTTGTAGATGAAGTGCCCCTGAGTAGGATGGCCACCATGAAAGTTCCCTGGAAGACCAACCAAGGCCAGAACCTCCACCCCCTGCTGTGAAGGTGGCTGAGGGAGGACCCGCTCTCCAGGCAAACATCGATAGGAGAGGGCTCCGTTCCCTTGGCTGCTCTCCCTTGAGCATGCTCTCTGCTTGAGTCTTGCTTCACCTTCACCTATTTTCACTGTACTTTCTCCTGGAATAGAGCTCTCTTGCACGACTTTTGGTCTCTGACTTTAAATTTTCTTTCTTAAGAACTGAGGTTTGAAGCTTCAGCTCCCCACTCTCCTGTGACAGTACCATTTCTTTTTCTTTTTGAAAACCTTTTGCAGTGCTGGGGATCAAACTCAGGGCCTCACACAAGTGCTCTGCCACTGAGCTACATGCAGCCTGGCCCAGGACCACTATTTTTTTTTTCCTGGTGTTGGGATTGAACCTAGAACCTAGAGCATGCTGGGCCAACGTTTTGCCCCTGAGATACATTCTAAGGCCTTTTTATTTTTTATTTTGAGATGGGGTCTCTCTAGATTGCTGAGGCTGGCCTCACACTTGTGATCCTCCTGGCTCAGCTTCCTGAGTAGGTGGGATTACAGGTGTGCACCACGGTGACTGACCAATACTACTTCCTAAAGACCAGGATGCACCTACATCTTTTCCACTACATTTTATCAAAAGAGCTCCAATTTCAGCTCAGATTTATGGAGAGGAGATATAGACTTTAATTCTTTTTTCTCTTTCTTTCTTTTTTTTTTTAAAGAAAGAGTGAGAGGGGGGGAGAGAGAGAGAGAGAATTTTAATATTTTTTATTTTTTAGTTTCCGGCGGACACAATATCTTTGTTGGTATGTGGTGCTGAGGATCGAACCCGGGCCGCACGCATGCCAGGCGAGCGCGCTACCGC